GCATCGACGGACTATGTACTAGTTGATTAATTCTAAAAAGAATGGGCATAAACGCGTGTATTTAATGAAATCAATTTGTATGTTTCCCTTTTATTTACAAAACCTCATTATAATTAATTAATCGATACGTATTTTTTTCTCTTCCGTCCAAGTTGACAGAGCATTGTATCACATGTCATTACTATAATTATTCAATTTTTTATTTTACGAAATTAGTAAACTACAGTCTTTACATAGTTGAACTTTGAGAGCATCTCCAATGCTTGAATGTTGTTATTACATAAATTTTGACAAATGTCAATTTTTTAGATGGATTGTGAACCACATAAGATAATTGTTAAGTTCACAACTTTAAATCTAAAAAATTATCTCCAATGCACAATGTAATCAAACACAATATTGTCCACTTGGCCAAAATAAAAAAAATTATAAATATGAAAGAAAATAAATTAAATAATTAGATATTTTGAAAATGGTAATAATATTTCTCTCACCTCTCTCTATTGGTTGGCTAGGATGTGAAAGAGAATGTGGATGAACCACATCCTTCTCTACATTGTAGACATTTAATATGTCCACCTCATCACTACATTTGTGTTAACTTTGTGCATTGGAGGATTAAAAGTAGATAAATGACTAAATTTGTTAATGTAGAGTGTAATTTACTACAACTACATTTGAGCATTGGAGATGCTCTGAATCGGGCTTTGGTCATTTGGACCAAGTTATTACCAAACACTGTCATTTTCTGCCCGAGATTTTGTGATCTTAAATATTTGGTAGTGTATTTGGTAGTAGAGATTTGGAAATGATTCGAGTATCTTTTGGACATTTGATCACATATACGTAGTTGTTGATCATATTCAATTACTATGATTGTGATACAATATTTCCAGCCAAAAAATATAGATATATGAAAGGAATTGGTCATAGTAATAAACTAGTACGTACCCGGTGCGATGTACGGGAGAGAGATATTAAATGAATTATTTTCACAGACTCTGTTCGTTTAAGTCTGAGAAGGATTATTATACATTTTTCACCTATTTTAATCACCATTAAGTTTCGTTTAAGTCTGAAAAGAGTTATCATCTATTTTCCACCTCTTCTAATCACCGTTAAGTCTAAAAAAATAGGGTTGTAATCTATTTTTCACATCTTTTAATCAGCGTTGTTTTATTAGTAAGAACATTAAACATGAGCATGTTAGGGCTAACTTGTAAAATAATTAATATATTATCTCACTAACACATTTATACTAATATAAATTTAATTTTATTATATATATTTATTCCTTGATATAAGAGAAAATAACAATTTTACTTATTCTTATTCACTATATAATAGTTAATTATTAAACTCTGTTGTCATATAATGTCATTATTATTTATAAAGTTATACAAGTTACACGTCTTCTTGTTCTTTTTATTTTATGTAATGAAATATATTTAATGCACGTTGGTATTATTTATATAAGTAATCAATTTAAAATATGTAAATAAATTTAAAATTAAATAGTGTATAAATAATGTACAAAATATACACATATATTTTTTTAGAATTTAATTTTGTATACTAACTAAACAACTTTAATTTAAGAAAAGCCATGAACTCAATCTCTTCTAATATCAATATTTTTCTAATTTGCATTGTAATGATTATTCTTATTATATATATAGATTAGAATTTTTGCGACACCAACCAAACTAAATATTACAACAACCAAGTAACAATTATGAAAAAACCCATAACACAACAACTATCAATTAAATTTGGTAATAGATAAATTACATACATATATATAAAAATATGAGGATTCTATATTTCTATTAACTGATGTATACACCACGTGTATATTTTGTTAATGTATATTGGAATGTTCAATTTCATAGCATGATGTCTTAAAAAATCGAAAATCTTATTGAAATGCCATATATTTCTGTTAAAAAAAAAAAGTTCCCATAAAAAATAATTATATCATAAAAAATTCATCGTGTAATTAAACAAATTTCTATAATGAAGCCCGATTTTCTGTACAAAAATAAAGCAACAACTTCCACATTTTAAGGAAATCGATTAATGTTGGTCCGTTTTTGCTAAGAAAATAATAAATAAATAAATTATAATTAGTGGAAAGTAATTAATGATGAGAGAATTTGACCATATTTGTTTTAAAAACCTATACTTATATTAAAAGGTATACCATTTACCAAATTTAGTATAAAGAAAAGTCAACAAAATTTATTGCATTACTATTTCCGTATTATACAATCTATATCTATACTTATATAAAAGGAGATTCTATTTACTACATTTATTATCCAGAAAAGTCAACTGCATTAAATGCCATTACTATTTTGGTATTATAATATTTTATTTATTTAATTGATTTATTTATTTATTTTATTTTACAAAGGTAAGTATAATAAAAAGATTTTAATAATAAAAAAATCAAATACTAAATAAAAATGTACACTTTGACTTATTTGATTATATTTGGTGTTTGATTATACCAAATATATTCCTATTTAGTATATACATTAAATACTTACTAAAGTATTTATTTGTTTTATTTGTCAAAGTTAAGTATAGATTTGTTTATATTATCAAATCATAAAAAAATATTAAATCCATATTGTAAAAAAAAATTATATAATTTTATAACAATTCTACTGCACTATTTAATTTATTTTTTATTATATAATAAAATAATAATTAAATATTATATGGTGAACAACAATAAGTAAAACTGTTACTTTCTCTTATATCAAGGGGTAAATTTATATGCTATTATTATAAATGTTTTAGTGAGATAATATATTAATTATTTTACAAGCTAGCCATAACATGCTCATATTTAATGTTTTAAAAGATGTAGAAAAAAAAAACTTATAATAACTCTATTATTTTTTAGACTTAAACATTGATTAAAGGAGGTAAAAATTCCTAATTTTTTAGACTTATACATTGATTAACACCATAGATTGAGAGTTTATATTTAGTAAAATTCCTAATTGTAATAAAAAAAATTAATTTTTGCTATATTTTAGAATATCTTTAAATTCATCATAAAAAAAGAAAAAAAACTACAATGAAAAAAACAAGTCAGCTATATATCGATTTGTTGTACTCCTCAAATCATATCCACAATTTGACTACAAGGAAAGGAAACTCATTGATTAAAATATTATTTTGTCAGTAATCTTAATGTACAAGAGACTTTAAGACTCCACTTGAATATTATAAAACTTTTATTGAACATTGTAAAATTTTCTTGCGTATTATAAACTTTTATTGAATATTGTATCTTATAATATAATTTTCTCCAAATAAATATATCTCGTGCTTCGCACGGGTCACGTACTATATATATTCCGTACATTTTTCTTTATTCATGTATATAATTATAAGCCTGGATAAATAGTCTTAAAATTGTGCACCCCGTGCATCGCACAGGTTCTGTACTAGTCGTAACAGAAAAACAAATGTTAAATAAAACTGTATAATACGGAAATAATAATGACAATAAATACTGTTGACTTTTCTAACTACTAAATTTGGTAAATAGGACTTCCTTTAATATAAGTCTATTCTTCAATCACCGAACAAATAACAGCAATTCATATACTCTTTTATGTTGTTACATAAATGTTTCTTTTTCCTATCATGCATAAAGGCACTACTATATATAATGTGTAGTCCGCCCCGTTCGCCGACATGCTGCGGGTTGAGCGGGCCAAGCCCGCCTAATGTAAAAAAACTTAAAAACTAAAATAAAATTACACACATTATATTTATATGTAAATAATACTATATTATAAGTTTAATTTTAAACACATCTAGATACATAAATATGACATAATAATCACTATTATTTACTGAAAATGAATATTGATCATGTTGTAGAGTTTGAATAACATATTTTTCATTGTTTAATTGCTAATATGTAATTTTTAATATTTTCTATTATTTGCAGATATTTTGGTTGGGTACTTGATATACAATGTCAAAACTTATAAATATATTTAGCACTTTTTAATAATTTATCTAAGTTGTCCCACCATATTTCACGACCCACGCAGGCTGACTCGTTTAAAAAAAAAGGGAACTCGCCTGCGAGCTTTGTGTCATTTTGGCAGCTCTAAATCTATGTATAAATGTCTGGTACTTCGAAATCATATGTGTTGATCGATTTCTTGATTCATAATTTTATGTGTCAAATTATGATGGTTCATAGCAATTCATGTAGCTTTGGATTTTTATTCATGCATATTAGAACTTTTAAAATTAAAAAATATTTAGTCAATTCAATTTATAAATATATTTTAAAAAATTATATTATTTTATTTGTTATTAATATTTCATATATAATACACCAAAGTAATCATCTTTTGATAATTTTTGAATTAGTATTCTTATTGCATATACAAAAAATATATATCCTTACAGATATAATCTATATAAAATAGTAATGCAAGTGTTAGAATTATTTAGAATTTACAACAAAAGACTTATTAATCATCAGGTGAGTTGACCCTTGATATTTTTATAACAAAAAGTATGTACTTATATTATGAAACATTATGCTTTTATTTATATTGTTTTTAGAATTTATCATTTCAGTTTAAAGTTAATATTATTTATATTATTGTTAAAATATCACACATTTCAATAAGAAAAATATATAAAAAAAATATATATCTTTCTCTTATTAATTTAAACCACCTGACCAACAGTTTTACTGCATTAAATAGATAAACCGGGCCTATATTGGCATCACAATAATAACGTTGGCATGGCCTACATGAAAACAATTCACCGATTCTATTACAACTCACTCACCTTCGTAAACAAATTAGCAACCGGTGGCGGGTGGCCCTCCCCTCCCAATTCAAATTAATAGGCATCCATCTCAAAGCATTGAACATGTGTGAGTGTGATTATACCACCTTATTAATTGATGTTAACAATATAAGAAAAAGGAAAACAAAAAAAAAAACACAAAGATGAAGCCTATTTTGTTGGCATTGGTATCTTCATCAACTTGATGTCTTCAATGAGTCGATCCATATCCGCATACGAAGACCCACCTTCACTCACACTCGCCCGGGCTAATTTCGCCACCTCGCCCGCCCTCTCTAGGAAACTCTCCTTCTTCGACACCATAACCTCCCGAACCATCCTTTCCACCACAACCCTATCGCACGTGTCCTTCATGTCTAGCCCGACCCCCCAAACGGCCCCCACGTACCTACTGTTGACATGTTGGTCAACGAAATACGGCCAACAGATCATCGGCTTCCCCTCGACAATGCTCTCCAGAGTCGAGTTCCACCCGCTGTGCGTCAGAAACCCACCCACAGCCAAGTGGCCCAGGACCTCCTCTTGTGGGGCCCAGCTCACGATGCGGCCCCTCTCCTCTGTTCCCCGGGAAAGTTCCGGAGGAACCTCGTCCGGCGCAGGAAAACCCGACCCGATAACCGACCCAGGCCTCTGGACCCACAAGAACCTCGACCCGCTATTCACGAGTCCGTGCCATATCTCGAATAGTTGATCCCTGGTGATTAGGGCCAGGCTCCCGATGCTGACGTAGATTACTGATTTCGAGGGCTGCGCGTCCAGCCAGGACACGCAGCTCTCGTCTTCTTTCCAGATACTGCTGGAGACTCGTTCGGAGGACTTCACGCTTAGTCTGGATTTCAGGTGGGCGTGGAGGGGCCCGACTGCGTACACTCTGGGGGATACGCCGAGTAGTTGGGATAGTATGGGGGCCTCTAGGTCTTGGAATGTGTTGAAAATGAGGCCTTGGGATAAGGGGATGTGTTTGTCCTCTTTGAGGACAAGTTGTATTATGTGGTCGTTGATGTCCTTTGTGCGACAAAAGCTAGGGAGGTCACGGCGCCTAATGATGCCTTCCATGCCAGGTAAGTTTGTTATCATCTCGTCCAAGTTGTCATCTGTGACAGACCCAAAAAGAGAAAGCACCGCATAATAAACGTTTTTTTTTTTTTTTTTGTGTNGTATAAAAGTTAAAAAACTGCAGGCATCAAGACAGTGAGCCTGCAAAGAAGCCCATTTTTCTGACCTACCCAATAAATTAACATTTGTGTGTTGTGTATTGAGAAATGAAACCAAATATGGTGCATTAAATTGTTTGTTGTGATTTGTGTGATTTTGGTAGCTGCAATGCTAGTATTTTTTTCAATAATGCCTGTTTTCTTTTGTAAATCGGGTAATTAATTATTAACTATATAATATATATATATATATTAATAATGCCAGTTTCATTTTGTGAATAAAGAAATTTCTCAACACTTTCAGACAACTTGCTAGGAAAAGACATCTCATACTACTGGAAGATTCCACCCTATTAGTGATTGGAGTAACTCACCAAGTTTTTCACCATTTAGATGAATCGATAGATACATACATTTGGAGTGTATTAATTCTAACGATGAAAATTAATTTTGAAATTTACCATGGACCAGAATAGACTCCAAGAGGATTTAATTAAATGTAAAACAATGTGGTGCCTAATTAATGTTCCCCAGTTGACTTTCTACAAGTACTCGTGATCCAAACTGTACACACCATTTTAATATTATATATCGTAGACAGCTAAAAGTATTGCAGGCAGCACACAGAAAACGGGCCTCAATTTTGGATCCAACAAGATTGCAAAATTGGTAAACGAAAATATATATTTTTTTTCTTTTGTTTTTTCCTCAACGAACCTGCTGATATATCAAACTGATTGAATTTCATTGAAATTAACATCAATAAAACATATAATATAATATTACCTTTAAAAGGAAACTCCCCAGCTTGAATGAGTTTGGGCAGGCACATGTAAGTCCACAACCCACACGGACTAATAGTGTCGAAATACAAGAGCGGGATCCCGGCCTCCTTAGCCACGTCGACCGCAAAAGTAAAAATCCCGTCAGCAATCACGCACGTGACGGGGTCGTCCGAGCGGTTGACAATCTCCCGGAAGACGGGCACGGAGACACGGTCCATGGAGTCGAGCAGGGCCTCGATCTGGTCCCCCGTGCGGGGATTATCGGGGGGCAGCCCATCGGGAAGCGTCTGGAAGGTGAAGAGGCCCGGGTATTGGTTCGGGAAGTAGTGGGCGGCCGCGGAGGGGAGGCGGGCTTGGACGTGGTGGGTGTTAAGGAAGGTGGTGCGGATGCGGGCGAGGCAGAGGAGCTCGGCAAGCTTGAGCATACAGTTGAGGGGGCCTTGGAGCGGTAAAGGGAATATGACCACATGAGGGCTGCGTGCTTTTGTTTCGTTAGACNTTTGGGCAGGTGGGGGGTTTTGGGGTTTGGGGGTTTCGTGGGAATTTCTCAGGTGGTGTTCAACAGTGCACGAAAGTATTGTTCATCTTATTTTGGATCATATAAAGTTTGATATAATCATACGGGTCATAATTTTACAACTTTATACATCACAGCACGTTTCAAATTAAGAATTACTAGTACAATACCGTGTAAAATATTACACGGGTACTTGTTAAAATTTTTTTTCTTAAATTTTAAAATTAATGATGAAAATTATTTTAAATTTTATTTACTTTTTTACAAAAAAATATATATTATTATATATTTTAGAATAAAATTTGTTACTTATGCGATTTACATGTGTTATATATTATAGTAGTTTTTATAACTTGTATCATATAACTACTTGAAATATAAATATATTATTTGATAAATAATTTTATTTATTATTGTTATAAAGATAAAGATAATATTTTTTTATAACATACAATATGGATGTTAAATCGAAGCTCATCAAGAGATGATTAATTTGATATATTATATATATATATATATAATTGACAAAAAATACAAAAGTTATTAATTTTTAAAATACATTTACAATTCAATGGTTATAATGAGCAATGATATTAAAATGCAATTAATACATGTAACATGACCATAAATAAACAACATATTTATGGATAATCCAGACCTAATTATTATTGGAATGGAATTAAATTAAAATCTACCCAAACCTAATAACGAAGCATGTAATTTTGCCACATAGGATCCCGAAGCATGCGAGCCTGCCACTTAGATTCAACACGTTCTGAATTAATATATATAATGCGAGCCTGCCACTTAGATTCAACATATTCTGAATTAATATATATAAGGGGAATGGGATTTTTTTTTGGTACAAAATTAAGAATTATTAAACTTACACGTATTTGGTCATGCTTTATGCCACCCAATTATGCCAATTTTTTTTGGGGAGAATAGGTTTTGGTGCCTTTGGCAATTTTTTTTTTCTTCCTTAGTTCATCCTATTTTATTGTGAGAATGCAACTAAATGTTTGTTAGTTTTATTTGTTGTTTTTAAGAGCACCCACATTGTTTTGAGTCTCTTTAAAAAAAATCACATGCCATGTAGGAAATAAACATAGTCTATAAAAAAGCGTTTCACAATGCAATTAAAAGTGGACCTAGTCTAGCTTAGGTGGCAATAAAAAAAAGAGACCAAGTCTACTCTTGGGTCTATTTTGGACCCAAGTGTGAACCTTACAATAGCAATTATTTACTATTATTATATTTTTATTGGTTGTTGGGTATTATAGATCTAGTACTTTTTTTTTGCATTGGATAGATTTTGGTTTTTTTAGCTTGAGTTTGTCCATGTCATTATAGATTTAAGTCTATTTTTTTTGTCACATATGCAAAAAGAGACCCAAAGCATTGTGGATGCTCTAAGCAATTCTCTTTTGTGTTTTTTTATTCTGTTTTTTATCATTGACTTTTCTTTATTTGTTTAAAAAGGTCGAGCTAGACATGGAATTGACTTGTGCTTCCTGGCCTAAACTGAAAGAATGGCTTGTCGAAAAATGACCCGATAGTGTAGTTAAAGGTCCGAGGATCCTTATTATCAAGGATTGGTCGGGCTAAGCATGCATAATAGATCGATTAAAAAAATAATATAATAACGAGTCACTTCATGGCTCGTAATATAGTGATATTTGCTATAAATTTATTACATGAATTATATTATCTTATTTAAAAGAATACATTAATTTTTATTTAAGGGAAAAGGAGGAAAGGCAGTCCGAGTGAATCACTTTCGGTCATTTGTGAAACACTACAAAACTATGATACAACTTTAGCTTGCATCACGAGTCACCATATTATAGGTCAATTTGATTGGATTAAATCAAGTGTTGAAATTAAATATAAATTTTAGTACTATAGAAATACATTTTAATTGTTATAATAAATTTAATATAATATAATATATATAATCAAATCAACAATGTTTTACGAGAAGCTCAATATATGTGATTTATATATTTTTATAATATTTATCTGAACAAAATGATAGTGCATTAGAATTCTTAATCATGTAGGATAAATCGTAATTCAAATTATTTGTATATATAATTCATAAAACTACTTTAATACTGGTTTTTCGTGTATAGTAAGATCTAAATGTATTAGTTATTATAATAAGCTCTAGAAGTTTGAATTTCTTTTGCACAATTTGACACACAAACTATACTATTGGACAGATATAATTATAAACTAGATAATGTTTCCAACACAGTTGATTCATATCAATACAAATAAGACTAATTCTTTCCATTCTAATATAAAACACAACTAAAATAAAATAATAAAAACAAAATCGACTACATATTCCTGACCTTATGGGCTGTGTCCATTCACGTGACATATACAATTATGAAATTTGTTTGGTTATGGGATTTCATTAAGATTGATTACTGGCTACATTTGTCGGCTTTTGCATTTTGTTAAATGTGACTTGTTGGATTTTTTTTGCAGGTCAAGATGATGGTCCCTTTCCATTACGTATATAACGTATTTTAGACGAATGTGTTTGGCTAGTAAAACAAAATCTTATCATGTAGGGTGTATTGTTTACTAATTTATCGGTTTTTTATTAGTTTTTTAATCAGAGTTAATTTTTAAAAAGTTTGTATAGTTAGTTGTTATGGATATTTTAAGTTTGTATTAAAATAATATTTAAAATAAATAATTAAAATTAATTTAATGTAAAAATAGGAGATAAATAATTGAAAGTGATAGGTAGTTAAAATTATGTGAGTTGAGAAATAGTGAATTAAAATTGATGTGATGTATAAAAATAATTTATTTATATTATTTAATTATATTGATAATATTAAAGACAATGGAATTGAATTAAAGTTTAGTTAAATTTTGATTACATATCAATATGAATATTTTTATTCATGTTTTAAATACCGTATCGTACCGGCCGGTAACACCGGAAATACCGGATACCGGCCATTGGTACGGTACAATTGCACATAAAATGTCGAATTTACGATTATACCGGTTTGTACAGGATCATACTAGAAAATACCGGTCCAAAATAACGGCCAATAAAAAAATAAAAATTATTAATTTAAAAACATAAAATTTAAATTGGTTTAAATTATTTTATTTTCATCTCATTGAGAAGTTGAAATTAATTATTATGGTCATTTATTTTTTTATTTTTTTTGCATTTAATATTATATATTTTTATGTATATATACATATATCATTATATTTGCAAGTCCGGTAATACCACCGATATTACCAGTCCGACCGGTAATACCGCATACCGGTGGCTAGACCGGTATGACCACGGGTACGCTATTTAAAATACTGATTTTTATAATCAAACACACTTAAATTCATAACTTTTCTTCATTGGTGTTATTGTTAACTTTTTGTCCATGGACCCGTATTTTCAAAAAAAGATGATGGGAGACTTTGTCTAACATAATCAAACTGTGAATTATTTTGTTGGATCACTTTTGAAAGTGTTGGTAGTTTATTCCAAAGCAATTGGATCTTGATTTTATTTGATTTCATGTTGGGTTGGGGAGGAGTTGTTGAAGAAAATATGTAGTTTAATTTAAAGAAATATTTATTTACATCCTATTGTGAAGACTGAATTAGTCATGGCCACGAGCTGGGCCCGTCGGTTTGACCCGAACCGGTCCTTGTTCAACGGGTCTAGACCCGAACTCATAGTTTGATCATGCCGGTTACGGGTCTTGGTATAATTTTTTTGACTTGGCGGGCCGAGCTGGGACGGGTCCGACGTCCACGGTCCTTTTNTGGTCCGGGTTCCGGGTCCAACAGTCGCCATGCAACGTCAGATTTTTAAATCAGATCGTTGGATCATCTTGACCATTGACATCCGATGGTCCAGACTTGACTGTCCCGATTGACCCGCCGGATTGATTCAAACCCGCCGGGTCCACAAATAAAAAAACAATCGAAAAAATTAAAAACAAATAAAAAAAAATTAAAAAAAATTATAAATAAGAACAAATTTCAACACATTTCACAACATCTACCTCTCTTCTCTAATCATTTTTAAGTTCTTGAATTGCTAATTGTTTTGTTTTTGTATTCGGTTTTCTATAAATCGGTTCGATTATACATAAATTCGGTATCGAACTCCCGATTCTATATATTCACTCTCATTTCGGTTCAGATTTTATAAATTCTTTACATAATACTCTCCATTTTATAATTCTATCATTTTTCACCTTTTTTTATTTCATAAAATTATTCTAGTTATTATAAAATGTTGAGTTCTCGTGGTGGTGGTCGTGCCGGTGATCAGCCACACACGTTCGCAATCAAAACCGACCCTAAGATGGTCCACGGTGTTTTTTTTTTCTTTTTTGGATCTGACCGGGCCGGCCTTGCCCGAAACCCTCGCTACCCGACCGTTAGCTCAGATTTGATCCGTCGAATGTACGTACTTGACCGTTGGAAATCCAACGGTCTATTTTGTTTTTTCTTTTTTAACCATTCTGGTCCGGGTTCCGGGTCCAACAGTCGCCATGCAACGTCAGATTTTTAAATCAGATCGTTGGATCATCTTGACCATTGACATCCGATGGTCCAGACTTGACTGTCCCGATTGACCCGCCGGATTGATTCAAACCCGCCGGGTCCACAAATAAAAAAACAATCGAAAAAATTAAAAACAAATAAAAAAAAATTAAAAAAAATTATAAATAAGAACAAATTTCAACATCTTTCACAACATCTACCTCTCTTCTCTAATCATTTCTAAGTTCTTCAATTGCTAATTGTTTTGTTTATGCGTTCGATTTTCTATAAAGTGTTTCGATTATACATAAATTCAAACCCGAACTCCCGATTTTATATATCCACTCTCATTTCGGTTCAGATTTTATAAATTCTTTATATAAGATCTATTTTATAATTCTATCATTTTTCACCTCTCTTTTTTATATTATAAAAATTATTCTAGATATTATAAAATGTCGAGTTATCGTGGTGGTCGTGCCGGTGATAAGCTACGCACGTTCGCGCGGATGTCGCCCTACATATCCCAGCAGACCCGCGCGCGCAGGCTTGCTCAGACATCTCCCTGCGTCACCCATAGACCGAGAAGACCATGCACCGTAGCCCGAGTCGACCGATGGTTTGAGGAAAACCGAGGCTTCGTACTTGGAGATGAAGGACGATGACTTGATGAATTTTGGGGAGTCGGGTGGTTTTGGCTCGGAAAAAAGCTGAGAATGAATCTCATGTTGGGAAATTTAGGAAAGATTGTGAAGAATCTTTGTACGGTTATGAGTATGACAACATACATCATTTGAGTGCTCGGCGGCTTACGATGGATCATAGCACATCAGTCTAAGGAGGTGATTTTTCTTTATAGTTTTTCTTGCTTATGGTTGGATTGATTTTTGTCTTTATAGGTCCTCTGTTTAATGACACCATAGGGCTCTCTTATCTCTTCCTTCTCCCACCTCAGGCAGCAACTAAGTTTTTGGTTAATCTTTTCGCTGTGATCATCAACTGTTATGAGCTAAATTTTCGTTATGTTTTGGTTGTTCAGGAAGTAAGAAGGGTTAGAAATGCGCATTTTCGTGATATTTGACTTCAGTTTTTTCTCTTCATTTTTTTTTTTCTTTCTATAATTAAAACTGATGTCGGTTGCATTAGCATTCTATACCAGTCCTCAATTTATGTGAACAAAATAAGTTTCCGCGTTAACTGGCTCGATCTCGGTGTGAATTTTCCGAGTAAATTTTCCTACTTCCAACAATTGGATGACCAAAACAGTTTATTAGTCTTCTCTATCTAAGGATTGCAACCTTTGGACTATGATTATCACTACCTATAATTTCAGGTGAAAAACTCTGAATTATATATCTTTTTTCCCTTTTCCAGCCCAAATAGAACAATGCCGATTATGGGAAAACGTCTTTACATTACTTGTTCGGCAGGTATGGGAAAACGTCTACTTCTTGTACATCAGCACAGATACCAAGATTCTTCAGCTTGTTCTCCACATAATCGTAAAGAAGTAGCTAGATCACCCTCGCAATTTGTCATTTTCACGGCCCACTATAACATGAGCAGCAGCAGAAGGTACATCGAATGCAATACCACTCGTCAATGTTATTATTCCATACAACTTCAAGTCTATTTGGGAAATCGGAACACTCATTTTAGGGGTTGATCGACATAAACCCAACAATATTTTTTTAAAAAAAAAATCAGTGAAAATAATAGGTCATAAAATTCCAAATTTGCTAGGATTCATCCAAATTAAGGTATAATCACCACTCTAGAATAAAGAGATTAAACAAAAAATATATTAAATTAACTTCAATTTTTTTTTAAAAAAAGAAGAAAAAAGTTACAAACAGGCGAAAGAACAGCTCGTTAGAACGGGACTTCTCCGATCTCCGAAAATTTTGGTGTTCATTAAGGAAATCGTTGGTCTTTTTCTTTTTGGAATTTCTCGTCTTGTCCGTTCGATTATTACGGTCAGCATGAGTCATGCAGCCTTCATCGGCGTCCATCCTGTCGAGCAGCCTTGGTGTCCGGCAGCCCAGCCCATGATGAAGAACAAAATCTAGATAACAAAAGCAGAAAAAGGTATCGTTGTGAATTGATTATTGTTCGACTTTTTTTATTTTAATCTTCATTTTATTTGTGTTATTTTCGTTTTTTTAGATGGAGTCGCTGATGATGATATTCATTCATCAAAACAGGGGACTGCTCTCAAGTGAGAGAATGCCCAAGCACGCTTATTTTGTTCTCATTGTTTTGTAAACTCTTCTGATTCACTCCAACATTCTCCAACTGCTGGTGGCCAAATTTTGGATATCAAACCTATCCTCCCACAAAAGTAATTTTAATGTGGCCGTTTCGTTTCCCCTCTAAGACAATAATTTAGTTTGAGAACATTTCCAAACATTCTTATTTCTCGACTCAACGTCAAATTTTAGCTCTAAAACCAACCACCCACCTCAGAACTCTGCCCAACAAAGAAAGATTTGGTTGATGAAATTTTACAGAAACACATTTAAAGATCAATCAAATCACCCAATTCAAAACATGTATGCAAAACACTTAACAGAGCCCCTCAAGCCCCCAGAAGCGGATCTCACTCAAACCGAACACTTCAAAAACTCAATCAACCTATTCAAATTCGTATACGACGTCCCTCCCTCACTGACCGCCTTTTTCGCCATCTCCGCCAGACGACGAGCCCTCCCCCAAAACTCCTCCTTCCTCTCCTCCATCATCTCCCTCACCATCCTCTCCACAATCCCCCGATCACACGTGTCCTTCATGTCCAGCCCCACCTTCCACACATCACTCACAAACCTACTGTTAATCATCTGGTCCGCAAAGTACGGCCAGCACAGCATAGGCATCCCCGCCGCTATCCCCTCCAGAGTCGAGTTCCACCCGCTGTGCGTGAAAAACGCACCCACTGCAGGGTGGGCCAGAACCTCGTTCTGCGGGACCCACCCCACCAGATACCCTCTTTCCTTGGTGCCTTCCTCCAGCTCAGCTGGAATTGGGCTGTCCTTGTCATTCCCCACAATTGAGTCGGGTCTCATGACCCAGAGGAACTTGTGGCCGCTGTTGACGAGGCCGTACCAGAACTCGAGGAGCTCGCGCCTCGTCAGCAATGTCACGCTGCCGAAGCTTACGTAGAGGACGGACTTCTCTGGCTGGGAGTCGAGCCATGAGACCGAGCTGCGGTCCTCCTCCCAGAAGCTGCTCGAGGGGAGGGAGGAGTCGTTTCTGTGGGCCTCAAGGCGGGCCTGGAGGTGAGTGTGAAGTGGGCCGATGGAGTAGACTGTTGGAATGGGCTTCCGTATCTGGTCCATGATCGGGCCCTCAAGGTCCTCGAACGAGTTGAGTATGAGCCCGCTGGAGAGGGCTGTGCCTCGGGTCTCGCGGATGATGGTCTGGAAGCCTGTGTCGTTGACGTCGGCCACCCGGCTGAACCCCGGCAGGTCGCGTCGCCGGAGGAATCCTTCCATTCCGGGGATGCTTGTCACGATTTGGTCCAGCTCTGGCTTTTTCCAGAATTCGTATTTGTCTTCGTCTTTTCCTTAAATCGTCATCGAATTAATTAATATCTTCTTCAATTGAATTTGAGGTGGTTAAAATCAAAATAATTTTTTCCCCCAAAAAATTAAATGAAATCGATACCTCTGAGAGGGACTTCCCCAGCTTCAATGACCTGGTTGAAGGAGAAATTCGCCCAGAAGGAACACGCGCCGACGGTTCTGAAATAAATGAAAGGGATTCCCATCTCCTGGACCACGGGGACCGCGAAGCTGAACACTCCGTCCATGATGAGGCAGGAAACGCGCCGCCTGGATCCGCCGTCGCTAAGGGCGTCGGTGGTCTCCATCAGCTTCCGGAATTCGGCTCCCCCGACCTTCAGCAGGCTTAGCACGATCTCCATTGTCCGCTCGCCGGAGCGGGGGTGATCCTCGGGGAGGCCATCCGGTATCGAGGCGACGCGGAATCCGGAGTAGCGGGAGAAGCGGGATTCAATGTCGGCGTGCTGGCGGAGGCGTGCGTGGGTGTAGTCTGAGAGGAGGATGGTGATGTGGAGGTCGGAGAGGCAGAGGAGCTCGGCGAGCTTGAGCATGGAGTTGATGTGGCCTTGCATCGGCAGTGGGAAGATGAGGACGTGGGGAGGAAGGTCTCCGGCGTTCGATTGGTGGCCCATCTCCGTCGATTTGTGCGCCGGGGAGGGTAAGTGTTTGACTGTGGCTGCTGGAATTTTGCGATTAAGTGGATCTGATTGGAAATTATAGAAATAAGACCAGCAAAGAAGAAGCTCACGTCATCCATGACGTTATAGTTGGACTCTTGCTCATTTGGCAAGTTGTGTGGCTGAGATTGGTGGTAGCATAATGTGCTCTCGCGCACATGGGAATATTATATTGACTAGGGGAGGGATCTCGTGCGCCGCGCGGGCACGCTGCATGTTCACTAAACCGGGGCCGTATTTTTTTATCACGTGCGATTCGCGTGACAATTATTTTTATTCTGAATTAATTTTACAATAAAAAATATTTGATCATTTCCATGACTGAATAATAATTAATAATAATAATAATAATGGTAATAATAAATGAGTTATTATTAAGTTAGCAATATAAAAAATTTGTGATAATATATTAAGGTATTAATGTAAAATAAATAGAAGAACAATGGGTTTCTAGGTAAAATAAAATAGAAAAAGTAAATAAAAAAATTTATGTATAATACATATGCGTCAATTTTTCTCTCTTTATGTTGATAACTAGTACAGAGCCCGTGCGATGCAGGGAGTACACAATTTTAAGGCTATTTATCCAGGTTTATAATTATATACATGAATAAAGAAAAATATACGGGATATATATAGTACGTGACTCGTGCGAAGCACGGGATATATTTATTTGGAGAATATTATATTATAAGATGCAATATTCAATAAAAGTTTATAATACGCAAGAAAATTGTACAATGTTCAATAAAAGTTTTATAATATTCAAGTGGAGTCTTAAAGTCTCTTGTACATTAAGACTACTGACAAAATAATATTTTAATCAATGAGTTTCCTTTCCTTGTAGCCAAATTGTGAATGTGATTTGAGGAGTACAACAAATCCATATATAGTTGACTTGCTTTTTTCATTGTAGTTTTTTTTCGTTTTTTTTATAATGAATTTAAAGATATTCTAAAATATAACAAAAATTAATTTTTTTATTACAATTAGGAATTTTACTAAATATAGACTCTCAATCTATGGTGTTAATCAACGTTTAAGTCTAAAAAATTAGGAATTTTTACCTCTTTTAATCAACGTTTAAGTCTAAAAAATAATAGAGTTATTATAAGTTTTTTTCTACATATTTTAAAACATTAAATATGAGCATGTTAGGGCTAGCTTGTAAAATAATTAATATATTATCTCACTAAACATTTATACTAATAAAAATTTAATTTTAACATATAAATTTATCCTTTCATATAAGAGAAAGTAACAGTTTTACTTATTGTTGTTCACCATATAATATTTAATTATTATTTTATTATATAATAAAAAAGGAATATTGTTAAATAGTGTAGTAGAATTGTTATAAAATTATATGATTTTTTTTTTTTACAATATGGATTTAATATTTTTTTATGATTTGATAATATAAACAAATCTATACTTAACTTTGACAAATAAAACAAATAAATACTTTAGTAAGTATTTAATGTATATACTAAATAGGAATATATTTGGTATAATCAAATACTAAATATAATCAAATAAGTCAAAGTGTACATTTTTATTTGGTATTTGATTTTTTTATTATTAAATTTTTTTTATTATACTTACCTTTTTAAAATAAAACAAATAAATAAATTAATTAAATAAATAAAACATTATAATACCAAAATAGTAATGACATTTAATGCAGTTGACTTTTATGGATAGTAAATGTAGTAAATAGAATCTCCTTTTATATAAGTATAAATATAATATTATATTATATTGCTCAAAATAGTAAGACATTTATTGCATTGACTTTTCAACTTACTAAATTTCGTAAATGGTACCCCTTATTATATAAGTATAGATTGGATGATAGATTTTATTTCCCTTTCCTTATGAAGTTCTTCTCGCATAATTTTTAAGGTATTTCTTATCTCATGGTCTTAAATTTCATATCATATTTTTTAAGAGTAATGCTATAAGTATATAATATTGTACATATGGGTGTACATAACACTTACATTGAGTGGGACTCACCAAAAATAAAAATTCAAATAGACCCCACTCCATATAAGTGTTATGTACATATCTATGTACATTTATTATGTACATATAGTATTTTCCATTTTTTAATTGTACGAGTCACCTATAATTTTAATCACCTTGTTACAACTCCGTCATTGGTTAAAGGTAACAACTTACTTTGAGATGAGGACATGTGGAGAGATATCCCATCCATATTTGATGAGAAGTGGTAATTTATATTTTTGCAAATTGAAGTCTTGATTGCACACAATAATGTAAATGTATTATATTGAATGAGGTGAACATTTTTATAAAATATTCGATATCATTATATTATTATTAAGTTGAAAATTAATAAAAGTTAATTTGGTCCCGGTTGTGGGGTGCACAATCAGTATCAAACTAGTCATTTTGAAATAAAATAACATAAACAACATAAAGTTGACAAATAAAAATTCTAATAATCCGCTTTAAAATTCATATGACATATATGTGTCGAACTTTTTCAATTATCAACATTGTACTTTTTAAGTATGTTACAAAAGTTCACGAGCAGAGACGTCGGGAAGCCGACACCGCTGTTTGCGCACATGGATGATCAGACACAGGCCCTGCTGCCACGGGATGCCGTTGGGCTGGTTCACCGGGCGAATAAGGTCTAGTCAACTTCCGACCTCCACTAACAAGCCACCCGAGACCTCGAGCCTGTTGTCTCTACATGGCACTCTACTTTCTGCCGCCTCGTCAAACTCCAGCGTGATTTCATCCACTCCCTCCATGACTGGTTCAAACTCACACTCATCCCCATCAGTAACGAACAACAACAAAAGTAAAGATTGGAGATTTCGTCCTGTAAGTGACACTCATTTTAGGTTTGGTCCTCCCCGACACCTACTTTTGGATAACGTCCCGCAAGTGCAAAAAAATCTGAGATTTAGTCCTGTCACCGGCAATTGCAGGTCATTTTTACCGGCTAGTATACGTGGAATTTAACCTGCTTTTTCTTTTTTTGGTGAGTTGTAAGCCACGTGGAATATGTGGCATACCTGATTTTTCTTTTTTTGGTGAGTTGTAAGCCACGTGGAATATGTGGCATAATTACAAAAGCAAGGAGGGGGTTCGAACCTGGGGTGATGGGCTTGCAATGGGCTTATGAGCCACTTGGCCTAGCAAGAATTAGTACAAAAATTTGACTTAAATTATATATCTATGAGAATGTTTTATCAAAAAACAAACTATATATATTAAATAATTATTAAAACTGATACAGAATATTAAATAATTATTAAAACTAATACATAATTTATTAAATAATTATTAAATAATANAGATAGTGAGAGAAATAAGAATAAATATGTACCATTGGATCCAACATATCAATGGACATGATTAAGTCAATTTTATTAAATAATTGTCAAACAGTCAATGGCAATCTTGTAAATAAGTGTCCATATTGTGGTCAAATGTACAAATTTGCCCACTTAGTAAGGACATTAGGGTCATTGCATATTCATCCACTATCCAGGTGGGTCCCACCAATCACAATTAAAATCACACCTCTCTCTCCTTCACACACAAACACACACTCAAATACATCGACGGGATACACACACATTCACACATTCCTCCCGCCGGCGACCACCTTCCTTCCGCCGGCGGTGTCGCCGGCCACCACCTTCCTTCCGCCCGCGTCGCTGCCGCCACCTTCAGCGGGTTGGTGTCGATGGCCACCGGTGCAGATTCCAGGCAGTATACTCCGGCAATGACCATCACACATTCCGCCCAGCGACGGCCAAATCGGCTAATCAGCCGGCGATTTTTTACAACGATCTATCTTTCGACGTCAAAGGACTTGAATTCGACGGCCATTTTGTGTCCTCCAGGACGAACCAGAGCCTGCGGCCACCGGAGACATCCATCGTCATTTCCATCTCGCCACCTCCTTGGTGAAATTAGCCTCCGCTGACCACAAGGACGCCGTCTTAATCGCCGGAGGTCCGTTCAGCAAGACATATGCCGGAGTTTGGGCTGAAATCGGCGATTGTAAAGTGGGATGAATCAGATTTGATTTTGGGCCTGTTGTTGGAAATTTGACATCCCATAGGGACTCATTTACAATTTTGGGATTTTTAATATATTACAATTTGGTCTATGGGTTAAATATGAAATTTATTAAAAGTCTAATATTTGCATAATACTCTTCAAAACACTGCACATTACTACTCTTTTTATTGCACATTAATGATAAATACATTGCACACTAGCGTGTATGTATATGCACGTTAAAAATTAAAAAACTTACAAAATTTCCCAACGAGCTGCATAATGTGCAATGTTGTTTATCAGTTGTTTTTTTGAAAAATTTATATATTTAAGGGACTCAATTGTAATTTATAAGCTTTATTATATTAAAATTCAATTAATGGATTAAATTTATAATTTATAAAAATTTTAATAACTGCACATTTATAAAGTGCAACGTGGTGTTTTATAAAGTGCATCGTGTTGATATATTTATAATTGTGTAGTTAGTTTTTTTTTTAAAAAAATTAACAGTAAAAATAGATATTTTTTAATAGTATAAAATTTCCAATTGAAAAATTTAATCTTGTTAATAGTGGTCGGTGTTGTACAAAATATATACAAAATATTATTTTTTAATATAGTTCAGTTTTTGTTTCGGTTATTTAAATAAAAAATGTCATCGAACCGAAATACCTGATATATAAAATAATAATAATAATAATAATAATAATAGTACCAAAATATAAAAATTCGTATCGAATTTATGTTCGTTGGATATTGTTCAATTTTGTGCAATCTGGTAGGCATTTATGTGCAATCCGTATAACCCTAATGTGCACTCGCAATGCATAAAAAATATCAATAAAAAAATATTATTATTTATAATAAAAAATATAAAATAATCGATAATATGTTTTCAATATAGTTCGACATGTTCGGCTATTTTGTTTATTTAAAAAAAAAAAAAAACTAAATCCGTCATTAACCAACTAATATTATTTGATCGATAATAGAATTACTGTAATTTTGGTATGTGCAACGTGTTATGTTATAAGGTGCACCGTATTACTGTATAAAGTGCAATGTATTGATATATAAAGTGTAATACTTAAATTCTGGTACGTTAACATGATCATGTAATTTTGTCGTTCCTTTTTTTATATTTATATTGCGCAATATTTTGGCTGGAGATATTGACACTAATTGGTGAGTCTAATGATAAAGTGCAACATGTTGATTTATAGAGTGCGACTCGTTGTTATATAAAGTGCAATATTTCGCTATATAAAGTGCATTAATTTATACTTTCTCAATTGTATTCGAAAATGAGTTTTAATAGATATAATTTTAAATCTAATTAACCTAAATATTTAAAATATCTTTTATTTATTATTTTTATCATATATTTATTTATTATTATAAATCATTTTGATATCTTATATTATTTTTATTTAATAATCAATTTATTTAATTGGTTACCCGAATTAACCTAAACAAACGAAATAATTTATTATTTATAATATAAAAGTTTATTTATCAATTTAATATCATTATTTATTATTATATATTATTTGTATATGACTTTAATATTTTATATTATTTTTATTTAATATTTTAATTTATATGTATAACAATGTACATAAACAATAATACTTTTTATATGGTTGTTATGGTAGAAGATAAGTCTTGAAAGCCACAAATGTGAAGGAGTCCAGTTCACTCCACAGGTCTTGTTTTGAAGGTTTTTCTTAATTACAAATTTTGCCCATGTATTAAATTGACATTTAATCAAACTTTTGGAAATTGCAATCAGGACCCTAAGAAATATCTAATTCTCAAAAAGTAGACATCAAACCCAAAAACAATCTCGTCAATGTAGCCGGCGAATCTCCGGTCGTCGGGTCGTCCACTCTCCACGAAGAGGACGTTCCTCGGCTCGAGACGACGGATCCAAGCCTAATACTCCGACGGAGATTCTGAAAACGCCGTGCAATTGGCAACGGAAAATCAGAAAATTGTGCCGTCGCACGCTCAATTTTCAAGGGATCTGGTCGAGATCGCAGCCTTCTTCACGGTCGAGAACGGAGCTATTGAAATTATTCCGCCAGAAGGCCGAGAATTGGAGCCGAGATTTTTGCTCCGGCGAATCTGTGTGCTTCATTNGTTTATATTCGGTATATTTTCGATATATGTATGGTTTATATTTAGTAAAATCATGGAAAATACATACAATACATATACCAAACATTTTTGATAGTTTATTTTATGTATATACATTAAATATATATTCACATATATTTAGACAAAAAGATTTTGTGCGTGCGTGTGTAAAATTACATTCCATGCTGCATACAGGTGAGGCAGCAATTTTTTAATATCTGTCATTCCATATACACCAAGCAATTTTTTTTTAGCATTTGAGATAGATATACCCTCTAAAAATCAAGCGCGGATATTCGCCCAAGATAAAGAAAATAAAGAGAGGAATACAACTTTTTACTAGTGCGGGAATTGGGGGATTGAGGGCCGCGGGATTACGTAACTGCTTTTAGGTTTATAAGTAGTAAAGAATCTTTATTTAGGTAGATTTATAATTATTTAATTATCAATGGCATAGTTATAATATTTTCTATTTCATACAATAGACATAAAAATTTCAAGAAATCAGAGTTCTGCTCGAAATTCCCAGGCCCAAAACCCAACAGCCCAAAATATAAGTTGCCCACAGCCCGTTAGAAGAAGACTCTCGAACTCCATCGTCACAACAATAAAACTTCAATCAACAGTCAATACTTATCGCATCACACACTCAGGGACAAAAACGGAACCAAAATTTCCAGACAGCTCTCCATCATAATCCCCTAAACTACCGAAAAAATTCCCAATCTTTAGAAAGTTCCATCAACCAAACATGGCCCTAGTTCCGAGCTTCTTCACCGGCCGTCGGACCAACATCTTCGACCCGTTCTCCCTCGATCTGTGGGACCCGCTTGAGGGCTTCACCTTCCCGACCGCCGCCTCCTCCTCCTCCACCACCGGCCGGGAGACATCCGCCCTGGCCCACACGCGCGTGGACTGGAAGGAGACGGCGGACGCCCACGTGTTCAAGGCAGATCTGCCGGGGCTGAAGAAGGAGGAGGTGAGGGTGGAGGTGGAGGAAGGCGGCCGGGTGCTGGCCATCAGCGGCGAGCGGACCAAGGAGCAGGAGGAGAGGGCGGACACGTGGCACCGCCTCGAGAGGAGCACCGGAAAGTTCCTCCGCCGATTCAGGCTGCCGGAGAACGCCAGGATGGACCAGGTGAGGGCCACCATGGAGAACGGCGTGCTCACCGTCGTGGTTCCCAAGGAGGACGGGGAGAAGAAGCCCGACGTAAAAGCCATCGATATCTCGGGCTGACGGGTCGGGCTTAGGTGGCTCGTTTGTATGTATACTTGTATGTGTTTGTATGTATGTTTGTATGTATGCAATGGATGAATAAGGACTACCGACTAGGCTGTGAGTCTGTGAGGGGTGAATAAATGTATAGACATTGTACAAATTGGTGATTGTATCTGTATGTAAAAAATAATTTTGTACCAATTTTTAGTTTTAATTTTATTTTTGTGTAAATGACCGTGCATGTGTTCTTTTTTCTTCGTAGATAAATTTAACTTTAAGTTGGAATTTTAGTTTAACTTTTTTTTTTTTCGGTACAAAAGAGGAGGCCAAGGGCCTAGGAAGAGTATGAAGCTAGAACTCGTCGGGAGTAAGACACCCCGATAAGATCATGGTCTAGCCATGCTCCCAAACCTATAGGAGGAGAAGCCAGTCGATGCACTCCAATCATAGTCGAATATGCCAAGCTCGCCATATGGTCGGCCGCACCATTCGCTTTCCTATGCACATGTTGGATCTTTAAGCGCCAATCCCTCGCAACCAAGCTTCGAATGGTTCGAACTAATGTATCATTAGCTCCAAAGCTAATATCGGCCCCAAGGATCATCCGTGTCACGCAAAGACTGTCCACCTCGGCTATGACTTGGTGGAACCCCAAGTCCCAGGCCAACTGTAAGCCTTGTAAAAGACCCCAAAGCTCAGCGCCTGTGATGGTAGTGTACCCAATATGCATTAAGAACCCCTCAATCGAAAAGTAATATTGCAGTGAATGGAAATTAATTTTAAGTTGATTGTTGAGTTTTTTAGCTCAAAATTAAGCGTAAGTAGCTCAAAATTAGTTCGACTCGAGAACAATAGGGCTCAGGAAACGTGAGCTTTTTTTTTTTTCCAACATCAAATGAAATTTGCATTAGCACTCGAAATAAATACAAAGTCGACCAACCAACGGGTTGCAATGAGGACACCAACCTAAACAAGCTATTTAGTTCAGCGCCTACACAACGGAATAGTCCACATGGACTTTCCTACCAGACCCAACAAGGCCTACCAATTCCAACACCCCAAAAACAAACAAAAAACTACTACAAACGCCAGGGCAAAACACATCTAACCAATAACCACAACAACCTGCCAATACCATCATTAAAAAGGAACTAAACTAAGAGTACAAATTCCATTCTATCAAAATAATAAAACACATCAGCAGCCAATACAGCAACATTCGAGTCAAAGCCATTTCTTGTGTTCAACAGTCTAAGGAGCTGCTTGTTCTGAATGTGAATCTCCACTCTTTTCCATCCTCTGACCAATCCATCTTCCAGCCATTTCCTCAGATTTACTAGCACATCCTCCACTGAATAGTATCTGACTCCATTCCTAGAGTAGTGCCAGCTATGAGTTTCTGAATCCATTTGCTCAGGTTGTCTCCTTACCCTATCATCACCAGTATGCAGAGCTATAGCACTGGTTGCCAGATCTTGCAACCCTACTCCTTGCTCAACACCTAGATCCTGACAGCCATCACCCAACCTTTCTTTTGCTCGGCCATCCCCACTGCTTCCTTTAATATCTGCATATTCCAACCATTCCAGCTTTGCCCCTTTCACCACATCAACCTCCAAACTGTGAACCTTTTGAAATATCCAATTGTTTCTAGTCTTCCATAGCCACCATAACAGGTAAGTAGATAAGGAGATCCTATCTCTGTTGTGGTCTGCCTCTGTTAGATCACATGCCTCATGCCACCAATCCTTGAAATCTCCTGCTGGATACTGAATGCTAGACCATTGCAGCCCTGCTATTTTCCAAACTCTTTGAGCCCTCTCACAATGGAAAAACAAATGGTCTAATGTCTCTTCATCTTTCCCACACCAGCAGCATACAGCATCATCCCTCACACCTTCAGGAAACGTGAGCTAAAACACACAAACTCAAGCTCCAGGATTCTCGGGAAAATTTCTCCTTACGGAGTGTATTATTTCATATATCCGAACTTCATTTATTTTATTTGAATACTTTGCTGGAGAGTGTATTTCATATATTGGACTTTATTTATTTATTTGAATGCTTGGGTTTGTGTTTGTTTGAGATTTGTGTGTCTTGTATTAGATTTATAGAATTGGGAGAAGAGATTGTGGTCCCACCAGGTGAAGTGCACCATAAGAGGGTGAGCCTAGGTGCACCATAGTGAAGTTTCATTCCAAAACTAATTGGTGATGGGAGGAGTAGTCCACTAGCCTTATAAAATAGGTTCATTTACTCTATAGAATCAACGTGGGACAACTCACAAGTGATATTCCAACAATTTGTTAGACTTTAAAAGATTTTGTGGGATTTATAAAGAAAAATTCTTATACAAAATCCCACCTCCATACTTAAGTTACAAAATTCTTCTAAAATCTGAAAATTTTAAAGAGTCTCAAATCGTAAAAAGTTTGAAAATGTCACTTGAAATCTCAATTGAATACACCCTTAATGTCAGTTTGATATGGTGAAGGTGAAAAGGGAAAGAAGAAATAATAAACGAGATCATAAATAACACTATTCGGGCAATCCTCAAGGCTGAACATGGTAAAACTCGTTTTGTAACCGTTTGACATCAGAAAGGTTACCCCAATTATGGGGAGATTCTACAGTCGGGTTACATGATAATCTAACGGTTACAAATTCCGACGGAATGGTTCCGTAACGGGACTGTAGCACCAGCCCTAATTATGTAGTATTAAACTGCAGTATTTGTGAACTGTGATAAACTTAATATAAGCCTTTTTTCTTTTCTTTTTTTTTTTCGAAATGATAGATTCTATTATAAACCACACAAATTTACAAAAGTTCACCACTAACTGAATACAAACAGTCAACAGCTAAATACAAACAATCAATATCTAAAATGGGAGGACAGTCTAGCAACTTAATATTAGCCTAGTACAACCGTTAATACAAACACGCGGGTAAGTATACTCACCATACCCCTCAAATTCTCGCGCCCAACCGTATTCTTGTCCGGTGCGGGTTTGCTACTGTGTATAACTATAAGCAATTCCACAGTAATTTATTATTCGGGTACTTCAATTCATTATTCGGGTTCACTTATCAGTTTCTATTGTGTATGAATGCTAATTCAGATCTGTTGAAATTTTCAAATGCGATCAAGATCCCTAATTTTCTTCACTCCCCTTCTACTCCTTTCGAGTTCTTATCGATCCAATCAAGCAATTTATTTATAGTTTGTAGACATTCCCTCGGTCTCTGTACCTGTCGATTACGAGTTGGGTTTAGGCGATTTATTTCGATTTGAAAGATGTCTGTGTTGAAATCGTCGGGCCGGTTCTTTACAACCGGGCTGGTGGCGGCGTGGTATTCATCCAACATTGGGGTTTTGCTGCTGAACAAGTATCTGTTGAGCAATTACGGGTTCAAGTACCCGATTTTCTTGACCATGTGCCACATGACGGCGTGTTCGCTGCTGAGCTACGTTGCTATTGCGTGGATGAAGATGGTGCCGATGCAGACTATAAGGTCTAGGGTTCAGTTCATGAAGATCTCTGCCCTCAGCTTGATTTTCTGCGCTTCCGTTGTTAGCGGCAATTTTTCGCTCAAGTACTTGCCGGTCAGCTTCAATCAGGCAATTGGCGCCACCACACCTTTCTTCACGGCTGTTTTCGCCTATTTGATGACTTTGAAAAGGGAAGCTTGGTTGACTTACCTGACTTTGGTGCCCGTGGTTACTGGAGTCATCATTGCTAGTGGGGTATTTTTCTTTCCGGTTTTGTTCTTGATTATTTGTCAATAATGTTAAAGATGGTGTCTTTGGGATTTATTTGGCTGTAAAATATCACAAGACGTGTTTGCGGGTTTTATGCATCAGAAGATGGAGTGGGGCTATATACAGTTTGGCAACTGACATGTTGATTATCTTTTACTGAGTTGTACAATCGAATGCTGCTTCTGTAGATCAAGTTATTTTCTTTTTTTCCGGCTCGAATTGATTGAACAACTAGGGTTGTATGTATATTTCTGATTTTATTCTTGTGTCTGTCAGGGTGAACCGAGTTTCCATTTGGTTGGATTTATCATATGTGTTGCTGCAACAGCTGCAAGGCACTCAAATCAGTGGTTCAGGGAATTTTACTTTCTTTTGAAGGGTCAGAGTGAAATGTTTTCATGTGTATTCTACTAGAATAGCTGAATGCAGCTTCTGAAACTTTTTTTTTTCCTAGTATAGGGAAAAACTGAATTCAATGAACCTGCTCCTATACATGGCTCCTATAGCTGTTGTACTACTACTTCCAGCCACCATTTACATGGAGGAAAATGTTGTTGGTATCACATTGGCATTGGCAAGAGAAGATAGTAGAATTATTTGGTTACTCTTGTTCAATTCTGCACTCGCGCATTTTGTGAACTTGACCAATTTTTTGGTCACGAAGCACACGAGTGCTCTAACGCTTCAGGTATTATTTGCTTCTTTTCTGTCCTAATACTTGTTTGTTATAGTTCTTTTCTTTTACTCTTTCCCCTCCCCAGTTATTGCTTTCTGTCATTTGATTTGATTCTAACTTCTAAGTTTGTATTATTGTGTAGTAAATGATCATGTGATACATGAGCATTAATTTTGTCGCACGTGTTTGGAGAGTAGTGCGATCTAATATGTTTTGACAAATTAAGGATTTTGAAGGCTTATTTCCACGCTATATATATTTCCGCTTATTGTTGAGTTCATACGTTGTTAGCTTCTGTGAAAGCTTTAGCATCTCACAGCACATGCATTTTTTTTATCTAACTTGTTAAGGTGGATAGTATGTTGTGAAGCACTAATACTGGTATGTTTGGTACTACACGAATACATGAGGACATGTAATGAAAATTTAGAGGATATGTATGACATGTACATATAAAGTATTTGTATTTTATCATTGCAAAACAGATATAATTGAGCTCATGTGCAAATGCAACTAACATTTCTACCATAAATAACTAAGATGTCTGAAATGAACTACTCAGATCCAAAATGTGATAAATTCCAGTAAACATGAGAAACATGTTGAAAATATCTGCAATAGATTCTTCATTTGAAACCATTAACCCGTTGTCCAACCCCCTACTCATAATTGTCTTTCTCCTTTTTCTTTAATTCTGTAAATAAGTCAGATAAAAAATTCTTGTGTACCTAATTTTCCCTTTTTTCTCAATGGATACTTTATGAGCATATATAGATACGTATGCAGGAGTATTTCATGCAGTAAGTCTCTAGCAACGGTACACCATTCACACAGAAGTCTCTATTCTTCCTAAGTAGTTTCTGTATGAAAGCTAGTTCAGGGCTTTGGTCTAAATGTCCTTGATAACAATATACAGATATAACTTGCCTCATTTTCCCAGCGTATTGCCTTCTCCCTGCAACTTGGAACATATCAATTTGCCGGAATTAGGAGGGAAAGTAAAAACTGTTTCCAAATGGAAATTATTCAGCTTTTTTTTTTTTTTTTTTTTCCTCCACTGCACAGAAAAGTGATTGAAACATTGAAAATTTATCCAGCTTTTTTCATTTCTTTAGGGGTTAGCACTTGTGTTTTTTCTGGTATCTCGTCAAATCTCTTGATTGCAACCTGTTGTTTTTTCAGGTGCTTGGAAATGCAAAAGGAGCAGTAGCAGTGGTAATCTCCATAATGATTTTCAAGAATCCTGTATCTGCTACTGGAATGCTCGGTTATAGCCTGACAGTCTTTGGTGTTATTCTCTATAGTGAAGCCAAAAAACGTAGAAAATGAAAGTTACAATCAGTAAATCGCTTGCCATATTCGCTTACCTCAGATTATGAGGAATGTGTGAAATCCAATCTAATGGATTTTGGCCATTGTTTCCCTCGGAAGCCTGACCACAGAGTCGAACATATAACAGCAGAGAAAACCGGGCGAGTAGAATAGAAGCTTAAAATTGGTTTGTGAAAATGTTTTAGATCTTCCCAAATGTGGGTTCTCAAAGAAAGATCCCTTTTACGTGCCTAACATATTCTTCCATGAGAAGATTTTATTTAGCCTGCATAGTGGTGTTTATAATGTTTTGCATTGATTACCGATCCACAAAACAAAAAATTGGTCTATTTGTATTTATATTGATTTTCAATACAAGATTATCTAGTGTTCCATTTTATTGACTATGGACAAGGTTTTTGAGTTTGTTGTGGGATTGAATATAAGTTTTTCCTAAAAAAAAATTGACTTGTTTGAAGAAGTGGGATGAAAAATTGGAAAGAGTTGTTCTT